GCAACAAAAAAGAGCCACCTATAGTTGATCACGCCAAGAAATTCTACTTCGACAAGTGTTTGTGATATTTGGGTTATTACGATGAAACTTCTAATTACAATCATGAATATTGCTTTTGGACGAATCATAATGGATAGGAGCTGAAAACTATTGAAGATAATATCTTCGGTCTTGCTTCCTTCCATCGGGTATTTGCGTTGGGTTGTCGGTTACACGAACTTTTGTGAAAGCATACCCCCACATTCACTAACGTCGGGTTAACTAAATGTATATAATCACATTTTTATGCAATATGGTCCTTCAGATCAGGCTAATATGTGTTAATGTAGATTTGTGAAAATAACCCCATACAATCAGACACTGACGAACTGTCGATTGCAGACCCTTTTAAGGACGAGAGTTTTCGTAGAATTGCTGTAGGTTTGTGTTCTTCAGAAAATGTCGGGTAAACTAGACATAACACTTAGGTGATAAGAGGGTGTAATATTACAAACGTTACATCCCATCCTTCGGAAGGTAGGGCTTGATTATTCACGAAAGTCCGTTTAACCCGAAGACACGAATCCCTAATTGAACGAAATAAGCCATATCTTCAAACCCTTATTACACGAAAGCCCTACCCAAATAATGACACTGTAAAGGGGAGTATATAATTATTTAAGATTATTAACTAAGATGGTTTCTTGACCCAAATGACACAGAGATCACAAATATTCCTGAGTAATATTATAGGGCCTACATTCCATTTACAGCAGTAATTTATTCAGGAGAACATCTATAATCAATCGTGAAGCAGTATTAATTTAGTCCGCATGTCAGGATAATGTTTGATATTAAATCTTATCTATATTTGTATATCTGGATGATAGGCACTATGATTATCCCTGATCCTACTTTAGTGTGTTTTTCATATAATCACCTGCACCTCAACAGGGCCTCAAGCCTCAAGCAAACCATCGCCAGAGATTGACAAGGGATTCTAGGGATTTAGCTTAATCTCACATCATCTGCGATTCCGGTCCTCATCTAACCCTTACATTTGAAAATCGACAAGCTCTCAAAAACTGATTAATAATCGTCTGTCGAGAGTAATCGCAGTGGAGAATTTAGATGATTATAGATAAACCATAAACCCGACTTCGATAGGGTATCTTAACACATTAAATGTGAAATGTATTTCTTCATATCTAAACAAGTCATTGAACCAGACAAAGAAGTCCCTTTCCTCTCAGGTACTTTCGTTTCGGACACTGGCAGATGTTTGGTCAGTGAAGACTGAATACTTGCTAAAAACCAGGCGGTAAAGTGTCTTTTGGTCATTAAAAAAAAAGTAATTCGCTCTTGCAGTTTTTAGCAGAAAATAGAATACAAAAATACAGTTTTAAAAAATGATGAGGAGATAGGGGGAACAGAATTGAGACTAGAATATATTCTTGTGTATGTGTATTCACTTGTGGGTGGATGTTTGTTTATAAGAAACGAAAGATTAAACAGAAAAATGTAGAATGATCTATTTTGTTGTTGTCTTTGTCGTTGAGATTACCATTCTTATTATTTCGATTACTAGTAGTATTATTTTTTATTATTATTATGTGTAATATATAGTATAGTAGTTTTTTATTAATGTTATTGTTATTCTTGCTATTGTTGTTATTATTCCAATCTTTTTGTTGTCATTATCTTAAGGTTATAATCACTGTTATTATTATTGTTGTAGTATTCAACTTTAGCTTTATTTATATACAGGGTGACGTTATTAAGGTGTAAACTGTTTATCAACGTTGCTCTGCTCAAATTACTCAATGAAAATAAGTGTTTTACTGACGAAAACGAATAATCGAGATTTCATGTCAGTTTAAGTATTTTAGGTTCTTTCCTCAGTGCAACTCATTACTACTTGTAAAAAACATAAAAGTGGAGGTTCGACTACTTGTATGATACGTTATATTCCTTTTTATTCCATTTTTTAGTTTTATTATTTTATTAGTTTATTCTTCTAGCTGAGATGAGGAGTACATGGGAAAAAGGGAGCCAGGGGGAATCAACGAAGAAGTGTATCGTGCAATCCGTAAAAGGATTTTGACATTTCTGTATGTAATAGCACGAAGGAAAATGTCAATGTACTTTCTCTTTGTATAAGCTGAAACCTGTAGAGTGTCAAACTAGCTAGGTATATTAGAAATAAAAAGAAAGTGTAAATATTAAAGGCGCTTATAGGCTTTGAATTTTGCCATTCATAAGACGAACATTCTTGTTTAGAAGTTTGAGGTGAATATCAGCTTGTTGTCAGCTTCAAATTAATTGTCATAGATGAGTGTATTCATAATTGAGTAAACATTTTTTTTTAACGTGATGTGGTGCCGTTCGTTTTCGATGAGACAAAAACCGTCAGGAGTTTGACAAGAATTTCATTTTTTTTTCTTTAACTGAAATATTTGACTTCTTATCTTTAACCCTTTAAGATATACTGGTTTTATTCATCGGCCTAATTCTATGACATAAGTAGGTCGATGTAGTTGAAAGGTACTTCTTGATTTCATACGTCACACAATATTTAACAACGAATTCACCACCACAGTTATTTTTCTGACATGCAAATGAATTCAGCATTTTATAAAAGCAATTGATTGGCTAAATTCCAGTTCATATTGGGTTTATTAGAGACCAACAGGAGAGGTACCTGAAGTGACAAAAGTTTGACAAAAACTGTACCAGTATTTTTAGAGTGAGAGTCTATGCTCATGTATTAATACAATATCTCAACGATCAACAAAAAGGTGTTTACTTGTGAACTAAGACGATAAATAGATTCAGAATCCATTGACATTTTTTGTGGTGGAACCTAGAGGGAGTTTAAAAATAACTATCATCAATCAAACTTGGGACAATCGAGAAACGACCTCTCTGCAAAATGCACAATTGAGAAACTGTCAAGAGGAAACTTGAAAAATTCGAAACTGGTGCAAAATGGTAATTCTTTTTTGCATTCACATTTGTTATATTAACTCCTCCTTTCTACAGAGTCTGTCCTTGATCTGTATTTGGGGTGGAAGGATTGTTCTTTATCACAATATCATATGTCTACAAATTTCTTTTGAGTTGTGGTCTTGAAACTTGCAAATACAACCACATAACAAAAGACCTATTTCTATTTTTTTAAACACAGTTTAAAACCAAAACTTTGCTTTCAGTGCTAGGATATGTACTGTAAATAACCGCTATTCATGTAGGTCATAAGGGTAATTTTACATCATGGTTGACCCGAGAGGACGAGAAAAACATTGATTTTATATTGACGTCAGAAGGGGCTAAAGTAACACCGCTACAAATGTTAGGTGTGAAATTAACGTTTTGATTTTAACTATCGATCATCTGGAAGTAATGTGGTCAAGGATATCATTTGAATCAGCGATTATTAAAATGTCTATTGAAACTTGGAGACTCATATTATTAAATCTGTGTCACAAAGGAAAATAGACAGGTGTAGGTAAATCTCTGTAGGATCATGTTATTATTTTTGGTGTCCTTAATATTACCAAGGGTGTGTTGCTGCATTCTTGCGTGTGTGGGTTTGTTTGTACATTCGTCATTATATTCTCCAATGTAATTGTGATGGTGAGAAACGTATTTGTTTAAAAACATAAGACGAGACAAGTAGGTGCACGTTTCCTAGCTATCAAGAACACTAAATTCAACGGAGGATACTGATCGATCGTCACTTTAGATGGGGTTGCCCGCCCCTAATGTTTGATGAATAACAAGGCAAGCATGAGGGCACGGATTGGACTAATGGAGTCACTGTTTTGGGAGGAAATAACATCCTAGCCAAAATGTTTAAACAACAGTTATTTAAAAGCTTCTAGGACGGTTTGTGCTGAGACAACATGAACCAATTTAAACCGTTGAGATATTTTTAAAGCGCAAACAGGAACTGATACTCGGCGCGTAATCTCAGGGGAGTGGGCTGTCGTCGTATATCGCATGTATGCACGTCTGTATTGGGTTGGGTTAGACAACCTATTACTTTGATCAATCATGTCAATGGTTCAAACTTGAGTGATAGGATTTATATGTTTTCCTGGGCCGGGGGCATCGTCAGAAGCTCTTAAATTGGGCGGTAAGGGAGGGGGCGTGTCGGATCAAATTTTGTTGTATGTTTCTAAACAGGATCTCAGATTGTTGAGCTTGCCGACAGAGGATCTATTTTTTTTACAAACAAATGGTGACGAAATATTTCGGCATATCATAAAGCGACGGATCCAGCTTCAGATAGTCAACAGTGAAAGCGGTGAAATTCTGTTGGTGTCTTGTAGCCTATGATGATCAATCATACCATTCTCATTCATACTCAGTCAATCAGTTATTAATTCAAACTTTTTCATTAAACACTAGAACAGATAACTGAACCTATATATTTAAACACGCTCGCAAACAGCCCAACATAAATGGTATATATCAATCACTTTTTCGACCCTGCGATTAAAATATGATGGGATAAAATGTTCTTAAATCTACTTTTGTCTTTATGGCCTTAGAATATAATTCATAACATATAGGCGACTGAGTTACTTTGCTATATATATATTGAGTGTATATATAGCACACCCCAATCTTGCAACCTTTTAATAAAATCGCAAACAACATCTTCCTCGCCCCTGCACTCAACTCCTAACCTGGCAAACTAATTAACACACTCGTCGATATGCACAATTCGTCCACCCACACACGCGCACACATCCACCCGTGCAATCAGCCAGGCATTTCCAACCATTGTTTCACTTCCATATATCGTATTGACCTAAAACAAAGCACGTCAGCATTTTCCTATTAAGGCACCTTATTCCAAAATGTCATAGCAAGTGTACACCTGCAATTACCACTCCGTGATATTTATGTAGTAGGGTATATCTCTTTTCTCCCATATTCATATTCAAGTCAATTAAAAGATTGTTCTCTTTACTTGGCGATTCCCATAGGAGTACATGACAAAGAAACACTAATAGGATGGATAAGAGTGAATTTTATTTAGAAATAGCCTGTCAAAATTGAACCTTCATGCCATGGCTTGTAATGTGTGAAGAAAAATCATCAAAATAAAAGACAAAAATAAGAAAGAAAGGTCTAGAGAGTTTATAAACAAATTAATGTAAATGTTTAATTCCTACATACTGTTCATAATATGACGACATGATGAAATTTGAGACGGGTTTATTGATAGCATGATAGCGTGCACTAATAAAACTATATATTTTTATTTCTTATGAACTATTTACAACACGAAAGCATAAGAAAACTATTCACAGGCTAAGGAAGGAAATAGTAAGTAAGGACGTCAGTTCATTTCTCATATTTACATCAGCTAGTATACATGTAGCTCTCGAAAAAAAAGACAAACACATTTTTTGACGGCAATGGTGATTTTAGTCCATCACTATTGAACTAGACTTTGATCACAAAAATAGTTGCAACTGAGTACGAGAAAGTGGAATTAAGCTAGACTAAATGATAATCGATACGACATACAAAGTCCTAATAAAGATCATGTGTGTTCCCGAATAGTATTTAAAAATGAGAGTAAGTCGAGAGTGAAGAATGGAAGAGATGATCGAGCTAGACGCTTGCCCTCCGTGCCAGGCAATATACCATCGATATGACGACTTATTTGCTTTCCTCTGGTAACCTCCCTATCAAGATATACGTCGATAGTCCTCTACGACTTATGAGCCTTTCGAGTTAGATGGAATAGAATAGATCAATAGTCATTTATGTGGTATCGTTGATTGTAATTGAAGCGGGCAGAAAGGCCATGTATACCATACCGAGGGAGACGTGGGTTCTATAGCTGCTATGCCTGCCGCCCTCGTCGTGTCAGCCATTTCCTGTGGGTACCGGTGTCCTCCGTAAGGTTTCCAATTCGCGATTGACACCACCTCTTCTTCTTTCTTTCTTCTTTCTTTCTAAATTTCTTTCTTTCTTATTGAATTCCGTCCAAATTTTTCAAAATGAACTTTCCTTGGAGATGGTTGAATAATGGAATTTCACCTCAGCGACGCGGGTAGTGTAGTTTCTCCGTCTAGTCACTCAATGTTTTTATAACAACGATGGTTGGGATTTAATATCAAAGAGGGGGAGAAGCTAGAATTCAATATTAATTTAATAAACATTGCAACTATAATAATTGACAATTTGAAATATCGCATCTTTCACATTACTAATTAGGCCTTACTAGAAAGAAAAAAATATTTTGCTCATGAAATTCAGCGTAGGAGAGAGAAGAGAAGGATGGTTGTGCCTGATATTCCGCTGACGAGCGCAGAATGAAAAAATTGAGTGTTGGAGTTTGCTATTTAGTTCATAAAACTGTTATATTTACAAGCTCATTGAAACGTTCACCGGGTTTTATTTTTGTTGTAATAATTGGGTCTATTTTGTTTTTGTCCTGTCTCATCAGGCAAAGTCCAATTTCTTTGGCTAAGTGCAGTGATGTCATCTTGTGGGGGTGTGATGAGAAGAAATTTCTGAAGCAACATGAAGACACGAGGAAACGTTGAACAAAACAAAAGAGGGTAGTCCTGCAGAAAATAAAAAGACAAAAAGGAGAAAAAGACGATAAATTGAGTGATGAATTGATATCCAAATTTATACAAAGTACTTATATTTTATTATTTATGAAACTACACAAAATACCATCCGATGGATTATTGGAAGGATAAATGTATTACTATTAAGCAATGGCAAGTTATGGCAAGTTTAAAGGGGTAGGAAGCATATAATTATCCCCCTTTAACCAGTAATATGCTTTCGGTGAGGTGATATGGATGTATCCCACTTGCCGTTTGAGTGCACGAATTATTCATATAAATTGTTTGGTTAAAACATACACAAATTAAAAATCAATTGAGCATAAATATTTGTACAGTCAGTGTGATTTTCTAGGCTATGACAAAGTCTCCTACAAGTCCCACGCACCCATACTCAATTCTACGGCGAAAGATCCCTCAGCTACTATGGACCCACTCTATGGAACAACCTCCCCCTCAATATTCGTAACGCCCCGACAGTCGACTCATTCAAATCACTTCTGAAAACATTTATGTTCACCCAATAGTCTGTAATTATATATATGCTAGTTTATGTCAAATAATGTTATTTCCTTACAATAAAAGATCGTAATTATTTAACTATTATAATTGTGTTCATAAGTTTATATCATTTATATTATATCTTATTTTGTCATCATTGTATACGATATGTATTTCTGTTAATTCATGTATAATTAAATCTTTAGATCAATCATGTAATTTATTGTATATTTGATTGTTGTAAAGCGCATAGAGAATTTATTATTATGCGCTATATAAAAATTACTTTATTATAATAGAGATAACCTTTTGTGCCCTTCTTATATTTCAATGACCACACATATGATAGCAAATACTATCTTGATCCAGACAGACGTTTCGTGTCAGGATGTAGTCAAGAGTCCATCTTGAAACGCCCTGCTAAAGCGCATCAGTGCATGTCAGATCTAGAATCCATGACCCACGTGATGCACTATAGCAAGAATTGATTGTCGCCCATTCATGACACGAGAAAAATCGATCAAAAATCAAGGAAACGACATTTTACGCGCCATTTTGCGCTAAAGTTCTCGAGAAGGAAACGCGAAATTTCATCGAAATAACGCCGGTATCGTATCTCTCGAAGAGATTGTCATATCACTTTCCACTTTAAGTGCAAAGCGAGATGTAAGGGGATAGTAACACACTCCGATTGGGATGGGAATGATGTATGATGTCTCTTGGGAGAAAACAAGGAATACTGCAAAAAAAATTGCAACACCATTCTTGAGGTCCGTTAAAGGGTCTAATAAATGTTAAGCAGAACGTGTCTAAATCTAGAAATGTAATTATATTACCAGGCCGATGTTTGTATTAATTTAATGATTAAAGTTAACACTGAGGCTTCATCATGTATCATTCTTCAACAAAATATTACAGGTTTAGTATTATATTATATGTTATTATATGTAGGAATTAACCAAATTTTCAAATTACCAACAAGATATCATGATCTTCTATTTTTTCCCAAATTCCCTGATATCGAATAATTTATCCTGACACTATATTTCTGTAATTCTGAATTCATTCGTTACGATATATTTCGAATGGAAAGGGAAAGGGCAGATTTAAACATTTCGTATTAGCCTTATGCAACTCTACAGTAGGCATTATTTGTGTATTATTATAGTCGCTTCATCTGTTGTTGAATTCAGTGATTGCTCTCGATCTTCACTTATGCCACACCTTTGTTATGCATAGCTAATGACATATTCACTGCTTGAGTGATTACAGAGGGCAATTTATCATTGATGATGTTTACGCATTGACGGATAAAAGTAGCTCTAATGGTCCCCATAAGGATACATAATAACGTTCTAATCTTGTTTGGGGTGGACATGCATCGGTTCAGTGAGATAAATGGTCCTCCTGGGATAATATCATAGAGCCTCCGATAAACTCTAAAGATGAACTATAAAGTCTGGAGTCAGAGCCCTATCATAGTACGATTCATGTTTAGAAATGATGATCGTGTATCGCATCTTATGATGTGTTTTTCAAGGACTTTTCGGACCCGATATTGGTGATCAGCGGATTTATGTTTACTGCTCATAATTTTGCAAGTTGTTCCTACAGAAATGTCAGCATAAGTTTAGTAATACTCTGCCCTACAGTTAATGAAAATATTTTTTTTAATGCATCTTTTAGACTTCCGCTAAAAAGAAACTGGGTCGCTGAATCACTTGCTGATGACAAATATTATACGGTTTGGTCAAATATCGCTGAGAGAGAAGTCTAATTAAGAACATCTAAAGTTGAATATAAATAAAACAAATCGATTTATAAGTTATATTTAGCTAAACAGTCGACTAATATAACTTATGCCCATTAGTAGGCAAGTGCAAAATTCGAGGCCAAAGTTGTTTTACAGGCATCGTTTAACGATTTTAAATCTGAGATGCATGGCCCTACGTGTTATCAGTGTCTGTGATATGGTATATTGAAGCGCTAAAAAAATTGCGCTTCAAAATCATCATGAATTAAGTGCCTCAAAAAAGTAAAAAAATCTTTGAGTGACCGGTTTAACCATACTCATTTATGTAGTGTAGTAAAAACCGTTAGGAAAACGAAAAATGAAATTTCGATTTCCAATCATAAATATCTTGATAATCAGACAGGCGATCGGCTCGTAAAGGTCAATGGATTCCTGACGGACCTAAAGGTCTATAATTATGTTTGCAGCATGAGCTAAATCCAGGGTTTTGTTTCGGAATCTGAGGCAATGTTACTGAGTCACTCAGATTAGAACGTAGTTTATTGTAAACTAAAGATTAAAAACGGAAGGAAAGAGAGGGGAGAGAGAGAGATAAGATCAAGAGAAGAGAGTTAGTTTGAGAGGGTGAGAAAATAGAAGAACACATCATTGGAGAGTTTTTGCTCCGGAAGTTGATGACAAGCAGCTACAAAGCGGACTGACAAATGAAAACGGTTTACAAACGGCGATTTCAATTAGACTAATCGTCCTTAAAGCCACTGTACAGCGTTGTACGTTCGTTGCATGACGCCCTCCTCAATCTTTTTTATTTTACTGGAGCAAGGAAAACAGGGATAGGTGTACACGACCCAGATACGAATTTGTGATGGAAGAGCCAGGACCCTTGTGTGGTTACGTACCCGGGAGGTGATCTTTGGACACAGAATGAATGGTGAAATGCAGATTGCCTTGCTCATCAATCCTAGCAAGTCGATATTCCTAAACCTAGAAATTCCTTTGAAGTCGTCAACCAATCTCCTCTTCCCCTCCTACAAATAAAAAGATTTATCTTGACCGCTTTCATAGTACCCTCTTTTCACTTCCGTTAGTGTTGAGAACTGGTAGAAGTTATTGACGGAGTCACATATAGGCCATTACAAGCTCGAATACCAACCATCGTTCCGTATATTCCATCTTGATATCATGAATACCAGTTGGTTTGATGAATACGGTTCACGTATTGACTACCTAGTATCGATATATCACACTTGACATTTAAAGAATAAGGGTAATATTGAACGGATACATTTAACGGTGTTTGCCACGATCCTATGTTTATTTCGCTCGAATCAACTTGAATGCTTTAGGAGATCGAATCAAACAGCAATAAAGCGTGTACTTCTTTTTTCTAAACAATCGAACGCTTGTCTGCTTGGCATGGTAATTTCGCAAAATGTCGGCAAATTATTATTATTATGGATGGACAAATTATATTTCGCCATTAGATCAGAGCAAAGTTTTTACATTCAACTCCCTAGATGCTTTTTCTATCCTCGTTTGTTATTTGTTCCTTTCTCCCCCACGCCTCTGCATTCTTTCTTTTTCTATCTCTGTCTATTCCTTTTAATTTCCTTTTGCTTTCTTTTTCATTTCTCTCCATTTCGTCTCTCACCAAGCTACCTATTTATACATAATTTTTCCCCCATCATTATTGACATTGATTATTTTTCATAAACTTGAGTAAAATGTGAACATGATATGAGAGCTATCAAATATCTTTATGTATTTTAATTTGCAACATTTTTGAGAGCCGACAATTTTTCCGGCGGCCATTATCTCAAATCATTTTGAGATTTTACAATATGTTTGAGTAGAATATATCGATTAAATATTAATTCTCCCTCCTTCAGGGCCGGATGCACTTATTCATTACTTAAAACATTGCCGATGTCAGAAATAAATTCTGCTTTGACGTCAGATAACAATTATTTCTGCTCGCCTAAAATGATCTCTTGATCCATTTGCAATGGATTGTTTGTGATATGCCTCCCTATCTAGGTATTAACTTGAATGGGACATAACTCTTTCTTTCACAAGCCAAGCTCCTATACCCACACCCTTTCGTTTGCTTCAGGGTATTATCTTTTTACCAGCGTCGATCTTGCCTCATTCAATTTTCCGGTGGTCGGTGTTCTCTGTCTTCATCAACCATGCATGCCTCGGGCTTTTTCTTCAATCACAATCAAGTAGGAAAAATCTTTTTGCAAATTGCACATCTTCAAGCGTCCATTTTTAATTGCGCAAAAAGGACTCTTCACTTGTGCCACAAATTTAGATTAATTGTCGGATACTGTGTTCTATAACAATAATTACGGATGATTCTTAAACCCTCAGGCCACCGAGGCAGTCGCGATACAGATTTTGCAAAATGATTAGGAGGAAACAGTCGCCGGCATGCACAGAAATCCAGAAGATTGACTTATATCGGTTTAAATGTTCGTTCTCTTTGTAAGTTTCAAATTTTTAACTTTTTCTCTTACTGATGAATTCAGATATACAAAAGTTTTCGACGACTGAAACAAAATTAAAAGGGTTTAACAAGGATATACGCCTGCAGTGATATCAGCTGTTTAAAATATTGTGCCAAAGAGGGGAACAGGTTTGAAAAAAAGGAAAACTTCCATCTATAGGCATACCCAGGACTTTAAAATGTAGTGTCTTTTATATTTGTTTATGCTATTTTTGTTCTGAAAGTATA